TCATCATTGCTATGACAGACGTATCTCATTAATGTGTGATTCTGTTTCTGGGATTTCCTCGGTGACAGCCGAGCCCTGACGATATACGAACATCGCCGGATTCATCCAGCAGCTCGTCGGGTTAGCTTGTCGCTAGTGAGCATGTCCAAATTGTGATCCCGCGGAATCGCTGCTTACCGTTGCGTATCTTGGATTGCACAGGCCACGTAGAGGACCATGCTCGACCACCCGCGCGCAATTGCCCGTGCAACTTCGGGGATTAGTCCTTCTCGTTGAAGCGGCGTGTTTCCGACAGCGATCGTTGCTGAGAGACCAGGCGATGTTATGCGTGGCAAAAGCGGGATGAGCTGCACATCGCCCGAGCATGAGGGTACGTGTATAGGTCTTGTATGCCGCGCCGCAAAGCTGATGGTCCTCCTTGCCCAGCTTACTTCCGTTCAAGGGCGCTCTGACACGAATTCACTACCGTCTCGACATCGAAGCTCCCGCACCATCTCGGAGTACGCGGCGCCCTCCCCATACAACGTGTCGAGCTAGCTGCAACAGGCGAACCAGGACTCCCGCACGGAGATAGCGATGGAACATGGAGACTTCGGGGAAGGGTACGCGCGCAGTTCGTCTTGCGATACGCCTCCAGCTAAACATTCAGGGTTGGATGTCAGAATCAAACCGGAGACGTACGTGCATGACCTTCGAAGTTCCGAGTTCCGACGACGCGATCTCGACGCGGTGGGGTCGGCGTCTGGGACGCTGGCTTAAGGTTTCGCGCGGACTGCCCGCAACTTGCAAGGATTGTCGTTCTCGTTTGACTCTCAATGATACTACCCTCGACATCGAGCTCGCGCATAGGCTAGTTAGTGCCTTCTACTCACTATCATCCCACGACGTCGGCGAGGACTAGCCCCGGAGCTCCAATGTGCGATGACATCAGGACTCCGCAACGCACATTCCGCAGACACACGCTGTGGTGAACACGATGGTGAATATCAAATCCTGGAGGACGTATAACATCGCCATCGCGAGACATCTCAGGCTACTTATCCTCAACATTCGTCCGCGAAGCCTCAGCTTACGCCGCGATTCAGAACCAACTTGCATGCTCCGTACACCCCCTTGGGACTTCTACGCTCTGGGTTGGATGTCCTTTTGCGATACGATCAGTCTCTACGACTCCGAGCATGGACAGTACCACGACGAGGAAGCCCTGACCCGGATGAAGTCTGTTTTATGCGTTTTTTTTCACCGATACGCGCAGTCTCTGACAGTGTCACAGTCTGCACCCGTATGCGCCCTACCACTACCGAAAACCGCTGGATTGGGCGACCACATCGTGACGGCTGACCGTACTGGGCGTGGAGACCTTGGGCGAGGTCAGTTCCACGTAACCCCGAGTCTACCACGCGATCAATGGTTTCAGGAGCTACATTGGCGCTGTTCCGCTCAAAAAATCGATTTGAAGGCAGCACATCGTCCGGGATCAGCACTGAACTACTATTTCCTGCGCTCGAACGCCGTGTTCCGTTGAATCACATCTCAAGGTGAGTCGCGCGTACACTTCTTTATTTCATCGCTTGATCCCGTATCTCCCAGATTGACTTCCCTTTACCTGATCCGGTTCACCTCACGATCGCGCCTGCGCTCGCATGCGCCGAGATCGTCGCCTCCGTCCTCTCCGCGGAGGGAGGCTGGTTGTTGGTCTTGAGCTTCCTCTGCGTCTTGCCTTGCATCCTCGAGCATTCTCTTCGCTCGGTCCATTCGCTCTCCGTTGAGGGGATTTGTGTAATCCCGCAGCGAATGCGCTGAGGGCCATTCCCCATCGTTCGTTCCGATATTTGGTTTACTCTCAACATCGCCCTTGGCGTCTGGAGGATTCGCACACAAACTGTCCTCTCAATTCGGCCCCACGCATCGCACATGTACTTCGGAGCTTTGTTGGCACGACACAGTCGATGAGTGCAAACTCGTGGCATGCGTAGCCGTCGCAAGCTGTGAGCACCCAGGCAGGCCGACTCGGAGGTCATGTTAACTTTCAGCCGCCCCTCCGCTTCACACCCCAGAGTATAACCGTCGCGTCACGGAGTAGATCATCCACTGGTACAAACTGCGTTCAAAATCGGATACGGCGTGCTCATCGTTCTTGCGGAGACTACATCAATATATACAGGGTACTCGAGCGAGAGCACAACGAGCTGCTGTGATTTTATAAAATGCTATCTAGGGCGATATTCGAATCTTTACGAGGCTGGGAATCCAATGAAATGAGCGGCTCATGATAGCACGGGACGTGGGAATAGTGATACATACCTTGGGATGGGGAAAGAGCGTTGAGTCTGTTGAGAATCTCCGTGATCTGCGCGCGCAAAACAGACGTTTCCGCCGCGTTCTTCGCTTCCAGGTTCGCGATCTGCGCGCGCATTGCAGATGTTTCGGCCCGCAGAGAGTCATTTTCCTGTCGTAACCCGTCGAAAGTGTCACGACCCGCGCCAGATGTATTCGCGTGTCCAGCGGGTGCGAGGGCGGCGTGAGTACTAGTCAGTACGGAGGGAGGGTTTCCGGAGGACGACTGCAGCTGGCTCTCCCAAGATTGAGGTGCGCCACGCCTGCGAACATCGCCAAGCCATTCGGTGAGCGCGGCGAAGCTTGGAAGCGTCGTAGCTACAGAATGGACGGCTCCATGATCATCATCTTTGCGGGATCGAGTTATGTTGTTCTGTAAAGAAGAACCATCAGTACTCCTGACAAACGGTGGGGGGTACACTAAAAGAGACAGTCCCACCGCATCCGGCTCAGATACGTTCTCGCCTCCATCTCCAGTGCTTCCACTCCTTGTACAATCCGCAGCTGTGCTCCGACCGTCTGCACTGGTCCTATGGTCAGGGCCGTCGCCAGAGTGACCCAGCTTCAAGATAGGAAGATGCAGATCCAAGGGTCCATGGGTAGACGCGCCGTCCGCCAAGGGACTGTCCGTCCCGGGAGAGCCATGACAAATCCTCTTCGTCTTATCTCTTCCCTGGGACTCCGCACCAATGCTCGCATCGAGTCGCCGCTTTTTACTGATCCCTGGCTTTGCGTGTACATCCGAGGGGCCTGCTTGTGCGCGGCAGGGTATAGCGATGGCTGATACGGAATCCGAGTGGTCTGCACGTTCCGGAGAGGATCTCCCAGCTACCTACATAGAGCACCATGTCAGTTTACCGAGAACAGGGACGTGATCCAAAACATGAGTGGCTTTGAGATATACACACCATAGCTCCAGGCTCTAGGGGTGGAGGCGTGACAGTGATCCGGTCGTGGTTGGCGGATGATACCAGATTGTCGTCGCAGTGCTTGTGTTTAATCTCTGGACATGCGTGATGCAATTGATCAAACAGAGGAAATCAAGAAAGGCAAAGAATAATGAAGAACGATTGCCTACTTTGTGTGCTCGCGGAAGAATCGAGCCCTGCGAGCATCGCATACATCGTCTGGTCCATGATCTCCATTTGCGATAACCTTTGTGGTCGCCGATCAGTAATCAGCAATCGCAGAGCGCCTTTCTCCTGCCGCAAGGTCTCAACGCTCTCCAGAGTGGCATATCGTGTGTCTCCATTGCCGACGGGGATTGGGAGGCGGGTCGAATCGAAGGATAGGACATCCCTATTGTTATCGTTCGAAGTCTCCGAGTCCGAGTCGCGTTCACAGACGTCGGTGTCAGTCTGTTCCGACGAGGGACTGTCCACCCCGCTCTTTGTATGTAGTACATATGGAAGCTCCTCCGATATGTCAATGGATAACCAGAGGTACGAGGGATGCCGATCGACTGCATGGCGACCCGCGTTGAAGGTATGTTGCAACGCAATTCGTAGGAGCCGAGCCGAGCCGTCCCACATTTCCTCTGACAGGACTGTGTACTCGGTCTGAACGATTTTGCGCTTCAACATGTCTGTGTTATCAAGAGGGATAATTATACGGCTATCGTTGTTGCTGTCCAAGTCGAGGATTCCGTCCGAGATGTGAGGAGTGTCGACGACGGCATGGTGCGAGCCGCCGCTAGCAGAGGCCCCGATGAAGGACTGTCTAGGGCCCGAGCCGATAACGCCTACTCTCTCGACAGAGAAGCAAGCCTTCGGTTTTTCACCGTCCTTGGATTCCCGGAGGGAAAGTCGCAATGCAATGGCATCTGTGGTTCCCGCACGGCCATTACTGGGGAATGCAAGCGTCGTCTCCAGGATGCTCTCTTGACACAGGGCCAAGCGTGTGACCTTCATAGGGGAAGGGACGATGCCTAGTGTCCGGAGCGCGTCCATGCTGTGAGGAGAGATCTGGCAGACGGTGTCTTTGAGATAGTCGTAGAAATCCGATGTGAGCATATGCAGCAATGTGAAGTCCCGTTGGAGCGACTTCGGGACCGAGGGATGCGAGTAGTGGCGGAGGAGTGTCACGTCTTCCACCTTCGGCTTGACGTGTTTCAGAAGTTTCATCAACTCTCTAAGATCTATACGGACAGCACGATAGGACAACGAGGCGGAGCGGCAGACCTCGGAGCGCATGTAGCCTCCGATATGAAAGGCGTCATGGTAGCTTCCGCCCGCTTCCCGGCGAGACCGACACAGGGGGAGTCCAAGGATTGATATTGTACCCGTTTCACGACGCTCCTGGCACTTCAAAAGGGCCAGTGCGTCCAAGTCGTCCAGTGGTCTGCACTCGTCACGTGTCTTCAAAAAGGTTAGCGGCTCATGAAAGGCCTTTTTGATGCCTGGCACTGGGGAGAGGGGTAGGCAAACCAGGCGCATATTGACGCCTTCCGGAGTGAAGATGCAATGCACGGGCGGGATTTGGCTTTCTGGCATGTGGAGTGCATGCGCAAGAAATGAGGAAGCGCTAGGAGCCATATTGGAATATCCAGAGAAGGTGTCCGGAGAGTTCGCGAGTAGGCCATAACGACCACCAAGAGTCGACGCTGATGGTGCGACCATGAGCCACACATGCTCGTCTGAGAGCTTGAGAGTGCATCTTCTTCCCCAGGCGAAGATGCTTTGATCGGGTATAGTCCTAATGATTTCCTCCTGGAGACGGAGGAATGCGTTCTCGCCCTCGCCGTAGATGGGGGACATGTGGAGGCCAAAGATGCCAAGAAGGGAGTATGCACGGTCTTCGACGCGCGTCGTGTCTCGATCAGCAGCCCATGACATCCTCCGCGCGACGCTGACCGAATCCAGCGGAGCTCCTCCTACGAGGATGTCAAAGTCGACTCCAGTGATCTCCACCAGAGACTTCGCAAGGCTCATCTTCGTGCCTAGAACGCTCCAGGTCTTCGTGAGAAAGACAATACGCTCCGGAGCGATGAGCTCCTGAAGCGTCCAGCCGCGACGGTGCCATTTGCTCCTCCGGAACCCTTGAGGTCCACCGGGGTGGTCAATGACATCTGCGAGATAGACATAGCACATGTCCGAGAGTCTATACAACTCGTACATCGAGTTGATCGCCTCGGAGAGCTCGGCGCTGCTTGACTTGTCGATGCAGCACGCATCGTTCCACGCGAGCCAGAACCCGGCGTCGCGCGCGACCCTGCAAAAATGCCTGATCTTTCTTGAGAGCCCCTGATGAGCAAAGATAGTACCGTCTTCAGCGCTCCTGCTATTCTCGAGCTCGACCGACGCGAATGGAGCCCAGGAGGTAAGGTTTGGCGTATTTTCGAATTCATTCCCATCAGAGACTGCGAGGAGTGCAGAGCGGACCCGGCAATCTTCTTCCACCTCTTGCTGGATGCGCCGGACGTCGTTGTACGACTGCTCGCCGCCCTTTCCCGGTTCGCGCCAGACGTGGGATAGGATAGCGTAGGTAACCTTCTTCGGATCGGGGTGCCACTCGAACTCGCCCGTCCAAGTGTTCAAGAAGCGCGGCATCCTATGAAGAGCATAAGCATGCTGTACTGATCGTGCGACGAACACTTCGCATACTCACCTCGTTGGGCTACACAGATGCAAGCAGAAGAAGTTCCAGAGGGATTGAAAACAGAGAGAGGGGGGGAAGGGCTGACAGCGTGCCCGATACGCGTACAAGGGATTCTGAGAGCGCGCCCCCCGTCCTTATACTGCTCGCACCGCCATGCCCATATTGCACCCGAGGCTAATGGAAGCGGCTTCAAGGAAGAGGGGAAGACCTTCTCGTCTACATGGTTCTGTCATCGCGGGGCTGCGCAGGCGTCTCCCCAAGAAGCACGCCGCCTGATATTCGACTGGCGAAACCGGGATGCCAATATCGGACAATGTTGGAAGGAGGGCTGTATGAAGCTGCATGCGTAAGAACACGGCGTGAACGGCTCAGGAGACTCCGTCTCGCGACCGACGATGTTGCAACGCGGACAAGTACTGGCATCTGCGCTGCTGTGCGTTCTTCCCATGCTGTGGTCAGCGTGAACGCCTATGTGGTCCGACTATCATGCGCCACCACATCCGATGCATGGATGCACACGAGGAAGGTATACACAGGATACTGCATAGCAGCTGGACACGTACCTGTTACGAGTACGCAAGAAGAAGGGTGTACCAGTCCACCGTCTTCGTATGCGGCCACGCCCATTCCCGGGAACGCAGTGCACTATCTGCTTCTGTGGGTCGGCTATGCTGCGCCGCCCTCCGCAGACGCGGAGGCCCTCGAAGAGGGCAGGCGCTCCGCGAGCATACATATAGCGGGTGGTCGGGAGGTATCGCACCGCGAGATCGTAACAAGCGAGGGAAATCGACTGCTCGCACGAGATCGCACGAAAAAACAGTGTGCCATTTATTTGTTATCCGCGCCCGGAGCGCCGTACAGTGGTCGTATATGAATGTCACGAGCGAGCAGACAGGTACTCACCTCGTGGAGCCCAGAAAGTACCAACCTACTCTGCAATCGCTGGACGTCGATCCCATACTAATGCTCGTCCTCGGCGGCGAGCCGGTCTCGCCCTCTTCACCGCACGCAAGCGGGAGTCTGCGGTATTTGCGACGTCTGCGAAGCCGGTCTTGGACAACGAGTGTTCATTGGAGAATCTGCAAATAAGGATGGCCTCAGCGACGCGATGAGGCCATCCGAAACCCGCAGAAGCTTACGACTATTGATACACTATGTACGCGAGTGCCGTAGATACTGCTCACCGGTACCGGAGTACTCATATCGAGTATCCAACGTTCGCGCGGCCGTATACGACACAGCAGGCTGGCGATAGTGCACCCCGCGCAGAGGCTGTAACGCGTGCCAGGAATCACACCTTCCCTTCGTCGTAAGGCTCGCACAGGTGTTCGTGTGTCCCACGCCGATGGCGTTGGAAAAGGTGCCCGCGCAGTCGTCGGACCTGGTTGCAGGCGAGTATGCTCGGTTGAAAGACGCCGTAACGTGGTCAGTGGCGATGACAAACTTGGACAAGGGAAATAAACCTAGCCGTAGCTGGCCTTCGCGGTCGTCGTACGATATCTTTTGCGAAAAGAGGTGGTACGAGAGCTGTCCGATGCGCCGTTTACAATCCGCTCAGGGCTGTTGATGGTATTGTCTATGATCAGGGTTAGCACGCGCTACGAAAAGGTAGGGACTTATGTCAGAATACACGTACGCCTACGAAACAGTTCTTGGTAACATCGCTTTCGAGTGCTTGACTTCGCGCTCGTATCGCTATTCTGCCATCTTAAACGACTACTGCTTGTACATAGAGAGATGAGTTTTGACGGGGCGACGAAATACTCGCCATCAAGCGCGGACGTACGCGAGATGCGAGCGGTCTCCAGCACACAGGTTGCGTAGCATTGGCCTATCCGCGCCGTACAAGCACGAGAGATGGCTTTCGGGAAGCAGGCCGCGGCGCCAAGATCTTGGCGGACGTCCTGTGAGATGAACCGAAAGTAAGCATTTGTCTGCTCCTCAGGCATGCTCCCTTGAAGGACACGGGACGAAACGCCTGTGGAGTCACCTCTTTCTCGTAGGCAGTTCCAGCCCTGTATACATACACCACCCGTCCGAGATACTATGCATTACGCGCCCGAATGCGTAAGCTTGGTGGGAGGAACGTACTCACGAGTTGCGGGACGCGACAAAGCGGCACGACGTACGCTATAGGCCACAGAAAAGCCTGCACCGACGGGAGAAACGAGAAAGAGCTCGTACACACCTGTGAAGGCCCTGGAGAGAGCGACACAAGTCGAGCTACCGATCCAGGCCACACGCGCGAGGTGGTCACCACGCTATCATGTACCATTCAAGATGCTCTCTCGCATTGCGCCAAGGACGCCCAGGGCGTCGCGAGCCACTACCAGAGAAATCCGACGATTCGGCGACGAAGCCGGTAGTGGACATACGCAAGTCCTGAAAGCGAGGTGATATGCGTGCATCCGATACAGGAGGGATAGGGAGGCTTTTTCAAGCCGAGAGCGAGGATCTAGCGTACTTACCCATGTTCCAGTATGTCTTAGGCCTCGGGAGGATCTCATGTGTTTGCCGCATTGAGTTTTTGCAATAATCAGAGCCCCAGGGTGCAAGAAAGACCGCAGAAAAGAAGAAAGAGAGCAGCAGGGAAAGAGCACAGAAGCGGGGAATTCGTCGTTGCCAGATGGTCGTCGAGGAGAAAGAAGAAATTGCACGAAGCGCCCAGCGTTGTTGCCTGGACGAGCAGCGATGACGTCATTTTTGGCGCCTAAATAATGCGCATACCTCTCCCAAGTGCGCATGCGTGCCCTCGCCGGCTATTCTCCTTCTGCTCTCACTCACTCGTCTACGCTGTCGACTTACTGCTCTATATCTGCAGTCTAGGGCGTATATAATCAAGGTCTTCTACTCATCTCGCAGTGTGAGCCGGCGGTCACCGTACCGAATCGGGAGGACGCGTCTCCTCGCTGCTGGCAGGAATTCCAGACGGACAACCCAGACGGACAACGTGGGGAAGAAAGGCATACAGTGGGTACCGTGCTCCTGCCGCATGAATTAGACATAGCTGATTCAGGATACACATTGCTGATGCCGGGTGCTTTAAATCCGGACGCCATATACAATCCCCTACAGACAGACATCTCACACGAACGTCTGTGTACGACAGCTGTGGTACAGCTCTTCGTCCTGACCTCCTCCCTCTTGCGCATCGCCTTCTCTAGCGCACATAATATCTCTGCGGGCTGGAAACTTGGCCAACAGCAGAGACTGATGTCGCCGATGACCATTCTCCCCACAAACCGTCCCTTGCACACACGTTCCATCGCGCCACGGAAGATGCCTCGCCAACGGCTGTCCCCGTCGCCTCACGCTTTCAACGGATGGGTTTAAAGCTCAGGGAGGCGGTAGCGTCCAACGTCGAGTCGCCACGGTGGAACCCCGCATTCCGCTTATTGATCACAGACGAGAACTTCGACGAGTACATCGTCCGTGAGCCGCTCACGCCCGGTGAAGAAGCAAAACGCGTTTGGTTCCTGATCATTTAAGTAGGCCTTCTGAGATGCACATTAGGTTGGAATTGAGGACTGATTGAGCGGTGTACGACAGATCGATGCCAGCGGGCCAAAAGAGCGCGATCTCGAACCTCGTGGACCGAAGCGTCGACGAGGCGTACGCCGAAACCCTCGCCGCCGGCGACCCCCTGCACGTATAATGGGGCCACATTGACTACACCAACACTACCTCCCTCACCGCGAAGCGATACATCTGATCCTACGTCACAGCGCTGTCCGCCATCCGTCCTCTCGCAGAAACTGAGGCCCGCGGATCTGCAGAAGGCCGTAGCGGGGAGACGCTACGGTTCTATAAAGCAGATCGCGGGCGCGCCACGCCCGGGCCGCTCCGCGAGCTGCTCACCGGGGAGCTCTAGCGCTACACCGAGCCATTGCAGACCGACTTCGCACCTGGGGGATCTCGATACGTTGCCTCAGCCTCCCTCGCATTCCATGACCTTTCTCTGGGTACCTCCGCATGCAGGGAGTGTATCCTGCACTCTTGTGATATTGGGCGGATGCACACGCCCAATTACGCAAACCGCCTTCCGCACTGAACGCTCCCGGTCGGACCCAACATGATTGCGAACTTCGTCATGCGCACGCGGCCGCCCGTCCCGTCGACTACTGCGACAATGAAGCACAAGCTACAGCCAACCTACGCCAGCGGCACGGCGGAGAGCACCTGAGCGGTGGCGGCCAGCAAGGCGCTCTTTGGCAGGATGGCAACAACAACGGCAACGGCGAGCTCGAGCAGGAGGGGTGACTACGACTATGATGAAAGAGCCTGTGAAGACGTCGGCGGTGCGCAAGTTGAAATGGTGATCAGGCGATGGGGGTGTGCCACCTATCGAGGTCTCCATGAGGTACGTCTTGATCGCTGTCGAGCATGGTTTATGTGGTAAACCAGGATGCGGTTACCCAGCGCACGTACTAGTCCTGTCGTTGACATAGTTATATTGGTGCCACCCATGCTTACAATTACTCGCAGCCCGAACGATTTTTGAAGCTCGCTGACTTCACCTCGGCTCCCCATTGCCCACGAAATGCGCGCGCAGGGCCGCGTTTGACATCCCTGAGAGCGTGGCTTAAAACTCGATATGCGTAGCCGTTGCAAGTTGTGAGCACCCAGCGCAATTGATTACGTCGAATCCACGGGTAGACTCGCACTGGCACAGTATACGACCGCACTGTGTACGGTCGAGCGACAGGAGAGGATCTGTTAAAACAAATTGTATCCTTCCACTCCTGCATACGCTTTCCACGCTGCATCCCTTCGGAAAACCATCAACGACGGGATGACGACGCGGAAAACGAGCGGATGTATTTGACGAACATTGTGCACAGGCGCTCCACGAGCAGCTCGGAGTTCCACGCCACAATCCCATACCGCGTGTAACAGACCTCTGCGTTAACAAAGTGGCTCACCTAGATTATTCCTATCAGGTACAAAGCTTCCGTCGCATCTCGAAGTCCGCCACATATTGAGGACATCCGAATCGGTCAGAGGGCGAAGGAAGGGTGTAACCTATAAGGATATACCAGTCAGCACTCGATCTGTAAGCCATCTCTGAGCCCGAGCCAGAAGCATCGATACGAAGTAACCACAGTGCGCCAGAAACAGTCGAATCGCATAGGGACGGTCGCAGATAAGTCATGACTGCAGGACGAAAGATCGCGGGGAACATAAACAGACATAGCGCAAAGATTTGCCGGCGAAGCTTCCAAAATCATCCACTGGCCAGACGTGTACATGGATCAGAAGCCGAATTTTGCTTACCTGAACGCCAAATCGAACACATGGCTGTTGCCCGAGTGTCGACGCCTCCTGAGCCTCGACGCCGTCGCTCGACAGAACCATAAGGATGCGACGGTATTGTATGTCGGATATAGGAGGTCTAGGGTCTAATTGCCCAATTGAGAAAACAGGAAGAGCCAGCCAAGCGTAGTCCAGGCAGAGACGCAGCGACTGCAAGCGAGGGAGTGAGTGCAGGAGAAGGACAGATCTCCGAGTTGGCCGACCGCGTCGGGTGGGAGCGCCGATGACGTCATGCGCACATAGCAGGGCCAGACTCTGGCGCTGAGCCGACGCGCTGCCAGCCTCTCTCGCCGCCGCACAGCGCCGCACTCGCTCCTGCTCGACACATCGTTCTCCCCCTTGCGCACCTGCAGCAGTCTATGTTCAAGAGCTGGACCCCACGACATCTTCTTTTAACTCTAGACACGCCCGAGCACGGTTGTCCATTGAATGCATGTGGCGTCCGTACAAGACAGGACTCCCCAGGATAGCTACACCAGATATTGTCCGCGCAAGTGAGTTCACTACCATCTTGATTGCCGAGTTCTCGCGATCTCATAACTCACGGCGCCCTTCCCGCACACCGCGTCAAAACGCTGCTTCACCAGATCGGGGATGCGCCCACGGAGATGACGATGGTATTTTGAGACTCGGTCGGATCTAGGGTACGTGTGCAGTCCGTTCCGCGATGCGCCTCCCGCTCAACATTTCGGTGTGGACTTTAGCGTACCGTCTGCACAGGTGTCGTCTCGTAGCCCACCCCACCGTCGCACAAGATGACGTCTAGTCGCCGCGTCGCGTGGAACCCTTATCTTCCGCCGATGCGGTGATACACAGAACATCCAGAGCGACTGGGTGAACCGTGCTGTTGGTTACGCGGGAGTATTCTCGCAACTCTCGCACGAGAGCGTAGCCACGGCCCAAACCTATTCTTCGACTATCTCGTATCTTTGATCAGCAGCGATGTATCCCGCAAGAACTCTGTCTATGCTCGCTTGGCCTGCCTCAAACGCCGACCTCACCCTCGTCGAAGGACCCCTCGCACCACACCGCCTTCTCAGCCCCGGATATCCGGTCCTCGCTACATTCGGCTTCATCATGGCTCTCCATATCCCTTTCGTGTCGTCGCGGGATGCCCTATACCTGCCACGAGTTGTGCCATCTGATTGCGCGGGGTCTTCCCTCGCTGTAGGAACGCGTCCATATGTTGCCGCTTCCCATCTCTGTCCTGGGTCGCTCCATCTTCGTTTACGGTCCCTTTTCCCCTGCCACGGCTTGTCTAAGTTTCTTAGGGTAAGAGTGGGCAAGGATCGCGAGCGTGCACGACGCTATGGCTCGCGCGTGAGCAGTCTGGAGCAAAGAGAATTTGGTCTCTTTCTCCTTCATCTACGGTATGTCGATACTTTGCGTGTACATCCTATCGCTCTGCTGATCAAGCTGTAGGTCACAGAATCTGCCTCTTCCGCAGGGGAGGGAAAGCTTTGTCGTTACATCAAATACATCAGATTCCATGTTCACAATCAGGTCGAATACTCTCTGCGCGAAGCCAAACGGAAACATACGGGGTGATCGTCCAGATACCAAGAACTCCATTTCTATTCAGCGCTGGCAGCTTTACGAGTAACATAATCAGCGAACAGTCGGGTGTACAGTATACAAACGGCAGGATTACGCACCAGGAGGCACGGTCAACGCGTCGAGTCGAGTGAACATAGCGTCCATCCACGATGCCAGGACCGAGTTCTGCGACGAGACGGCGGCCAACTCAGACCACAACTTGCCATTCTTTTTCTTCAGCTGCTCTATCTCCGCTCGGATGGTGGCGTTCTCGCGTCTACTTGGAGAATCGTCGCAGTCAAGCCCATGAACGAGTCCATTTGACGTTCTTCCCGACCATCGACGGCTCCGGGAGCGAGTGCTGCAGCAGGTCTACACGTTCCAGGGGAGAGGGTGGAGACAGCACCAAAAGACGATCGCGGATAAGAGGTTTTCTCAAAACTGAGCCATAAACCCACCGAGTGAGCCAGCCGTGATAGAAAACTCGAGTGATATCAGTGCGTACCTTGTGATGCGTCAGGGTGTCAAGCCTATTAGAGATTTCTGACATCCGCAATGCCAAGTTCGCATTATTTGTTTCCAGGTCTGCGATCCGGGCGTTCAGAGCGACGTTCTCGCGTCGTAGCGTCTCAATGGTTTCCTGACTCGCGTCCGGTATATTGGCATTTTCAGAGAGAGAGTGTGTGAGGGGAGTGGTCGGTGCGGAAGGAAGGTGTCTGGACGGCGACTGCTGTGTTCCCAAATCCTCGGGGGAATCACTCCGGCGTATATCATGGAGCCATTTGACGAGCCCTGGGAATCCCGGCAGTGTAGCACCTGCGTGGTTGGCGGCGCTCTGTTCATTAATCTGCCTGTTGGGAGGGATGGTCTCCTGTAGATGGTTATATTAGCACTTGCAGGACACAGCAGGTAGCATCTGAGCCCGTGCTCACCGCCTCCGGTCGGGAAATGATCGCGAGTTCCTCTCCTGCGCTTCTGCTCCAAGCCCGGTCCTCGGTGGCGCTCTGATCGTCTGAGTATGTCCCGTGTCCGTCGATGTTTCCCATTTGGGCTACCCCCGAGTGAGAGGGGCTCGGGTCCAATCGTCCATGAGACAAAACTGGCGGCGTGCTTAAGAGCCAATCACTGTACTCCTGGGGAGAGGAGAGGCGAGCCCGCTGAGAGCGATCACTTCCCAATGACTTCGCATCCAGGTCCAAGCTGGCTTGACGTCGCCGCTTTTCACTGAGACGTGAATGGGTGGAAGTCCCCGAATGCCTGACTTGATCCGAGTCCGGTGAAGTGGTGGTCGCTGCGGAAGATGAACTGTGAGGACGCTCTGAGGACACCGCAGTCATCTATGCACAAACGCACGTCAGAGCCGCTCATCGGACACGATGAAGCAAGAGAAGACTCCGGTTGTAGCCGGGACGCGCTTACTGTAGCTCCTTTTGCGGTCAAGGAGGGGGTGAAATTCTCGTCCTCGTCCTCACAGGAGTTATACGAAATGTCTTCGCTGCCGACTCCATCAATCCTTTGTGGCGAGGACCGGTCCGAAACGCTCTTGTAAGGGAGCGTGCATTCGAAGCTGTCCGACATATCGATAGACATCCAGAGGTCTGTGATGTATGGACCGACCGTACTCGCGAAAGGAAATTGCAGCGCAACCCGTATGGTCCGAGCCATGCAGATCGCTGATTGCGGCCTAAGGTTCCATTGACCGTCTATGTTGACAATGTGCTCGGTGTGGGCAATTGTATGGCTGGCGGGTTTGCCCTTTGAGTCGTATTGAAAGGTGTGAGCGTCACAGTACGTTTGGTTTGGGACCTCTTTCAGCACTTGAACAGCATAGCGGCGTGGGTCGTCAGGGGAGGCGGTGGTGTAAATGGAGGGAGTGGGCCAAGGACAGTGTGACCCGATGGATCGCACACCCTTGATGGAGAAGTATGCCGTCGCGCTGCTCGGGTCCAGATAAGTTCCTCCGTGCTGGAAGCGCGTCAGCAGTATAGAAAGCTCGATGGTGCGCGGGGTGTGTTCATGGTTCTCGTTCCAGGATGTCAGCGTGGTCTCCATGATGATGGTCCCCGGTTCTTCTTCCTCGGGGAATTTTTGCACCCGCAAAGTAGAAGTAGCAAAGCCGGACGCGCGGAGGGCTGAGATGCTGTGAGGAGCGATGGCGTAGACCGTCTCCGGATGTGTGAACCATTCGGAAGACTTCCATACGATACACGTTGGGAGGTTGGCGCTGAGGCAGAGTGATTTCGGGATCGGGGGCTGTGGGTGGTGGCGGAGGAGTGTCACTTCGAGTTCCGTCGGTTTTAGGGACTGTAGAACCTGTGCCAATGCCCGCTTGGCCAGTCCGATGGTGCGGTATAGATGATGATGACCATCGGTACATTGCACGTGGGTTCCGACGAAAAACCGGTTGCGTTTCTCGCCCTCTTCTCGAGGCCGGCACAGAGGGAGCGCGAGAAGATTGCCTTTTGAGTCGTGACACTGTAGGAGAATCAAAGTATCCAACTCCCCCAGCTGCATACACTCCGCGCAAGTATAGCCCCAGCGCGGCTCTCGAAATACCTCAAGAACATGGGGCGCTTCTGCGAGTGAGAGGCCAAGAGCCCGCATACGGATGCCTTCCGGAGTGAAGATACAATGCACTGGTGGAACGTCGCTCCTATCGAGGTCTAGCATCTCTGAAAAATATGATGGTGTGAGTTGGGTTACGTGGAGGGATCCCCATGTTCCGAAGGGCGACGTGGCGCTTGCGAGTGGGCCAGTCCCAGGCCAATTGACCACCGAGCGGCGACAGCGGTCATACAGAGAATCCATAGTATAGCTATCCCCCCAGACGAAGATACTTTGATCGGGGGTGGTTTTGAGAATTTCCTCCTGGAGACGGATGAACGCCTTCTCGCCTTCACCATAGATCGGTGGCATATGGATACCGAAGATGCCCATCAGGGAGTACGCGCGGTCTTCAACACGCGTCGTCGCTCGCTTGGCAGCCCATGACATCCTGCGCGCGACGCTGACCGAGTCCGGCCTAGCTCGTCCTACGAGGATATCGAAGTCGATCCCAGACGTCCGCGCGAGAGCTGACGCGAGGCTCATCTTCGTTCCGAGGAAGCACCAGGTCTGAGTCAGAAAGACGACGAACTCGGGAGCAATGAGCTCCTGCAGCGTCCAGCCACGAGTGTGCCAGCTGCTCCCCCGGAAGTCCGATCCCCTACGGGCTATGTCACCATCGGGGACGTCCGCGAGGTAGACGTAGCACATATCCGAGAGTCGGTACCACTCGTACATCGAGTTGATGGCCTCGGAGAGCTCGGCGCTGCTTGTCTTATCGATGCAACATGTGTCGTTCCATGCGAGACGGAAACCGGCCTCGCGCGCGACCCTGCAGAAGCCCTTGATCTTGTCCGAGAGCCTCGGGTGAGCGAAGATGGTTCGCTCTTCGTGGTATTCAGTAGGGGCGGATGATCGAGGTCCCCCCAGGTCTTCCCTCACGGATTTTTGGATCTCGCAGACATCTGAAAATGACTGCTCGGCGCCATCCTTTGGCTGGCGCCAAACATGGGATAGAATAGCGTAGGTGACTTGGCTCGGATCGACGACCCATACGAACTCGCCCGTCCACGTGTCCAAGAAGCGCGGCATGCTGCTGACAACCAGACCCTTCAGTAAGTAACAAGTAACGCGTATGCACATGGATGATCTCATGCTTACCTTAATCCTGTAGACCTGGTCTAACTAGGGGACCTGTTGTGCGTGTGTTAAGGGAGATGGGTGGAAGGGCTGACAGCGTGCCCGATACGCGTGCGAGGGACTCTGAGCGTGTGTCTTGAGTCCTTATATTGCCTTGCTGTGGGCGGATCCGGCCGGAAGATGATCACAGCAATGTTCCACGAGAAACGGGAAGGCCCTAAGGTTCTGTCGAACGCAATGCACCGTGCTCACGAGCGTCTCGCCCATTTGCATAACACCCCATTTGACTCAGTGAAATTGAGCAGCGACCATAAAGCGCCTAATTTTTTTCAGAACAGAACGTGTGCAGCTGCAGTCCAGTCCATTGCGGAAGGACGGTGATGATCACTTCAACGACATCATCCCTTGGCTCGGAATGCTACAAAACGGGGGGGCACCCGGCATCGCTTGTACTTTACGTTACACAGCCCTTGGTGAACGCAGACACCTATGTGGTACGACGCTGCACCGCCCCACAGCATGTAGAATATGATGAAGACGTTGAACTGGCCTCACAACAGCGAATGTGAGGGTGCGTGAAGCCTACACGCCACCTACCGCCTTTGACAGTAAGGCGTCAGGTATCAACCTACGGAAAGCAACTCTCGTGAGCTAACAGAGAGTCCGCCGCGGAAGAATCACACCATCAACGTCCATGTCGCAGTAGGTGCCAGATGTGGCTCGACGTCTGCTAGAACTCAAAGTTTCCGATTGTTTGCAAGTTACTCGGGCGGTGCGCGAACGTCCGTCGTCCGATGTGATTTGCATCGCAATATGTTCCTTCAAGCGGCGCAGAGGTTCAACGGCGGGGGAGCGGCGCTCGGCGATGCCTCGCACCGCATAGCCGCGCATCTGCGGAGACAATGAACATCGCCATGAGCCGAGAAGTGCGAGGAACGAACTGCAATTGCCTCGGACGTTCGCCACGGATCACACGCTTTTACTACGGGGAAGTACTGACCTGTCGATGGCGGCCCAGCCACGGAGGAGGCACTGCAAAATGAGGAGTCAGGTGCCACGCGTGTAGTGTTCGAGATAGTCAGATCGCACTTGCATAGCGCTCGTGGTAGACAGCGCGTAACAATTGGCGACGGAATGTTCGATAGGCACGCGCCTGAATTGCGGTGGGATGTGCGCTGGGCGCGAGGCGGGCGATGCACTGAGTCGGCCTCTTGCAGGTACTGGTCGACATCGGGGAACGAAGGGTTCGGCGTATTCGTGCACGTAGCGTCCATATTCAGACTATAGGTTCAGCGAGAGTCCTCGAAATGCGCTGTGGGTTTGGAGAATGCGCTCGATCGTCCACGACTGGATGCGCGTGCCCCGAGCCTTGATGATACGATGCGGACTCCCAGTGCGCAGCGTCCCCGCAATGATGAGTGCAGCCAAGGCTTAGATGGAGAACGTGTGCGTGGAGGGGATAGTCCACAACCGGATGAGTTGGGCAGAAGGTGCCGCGAAGAGAACCGGGAACAAGGGATGCGCTACCGGACGGGGTTGGAAGGCATATGCGACCAGCCCACGCAGTACTCGGCGCGTACGATAGCGCGCATTGAAACGGGGGGAGTGGGCACGGCTCTAGTACACGAAAGCTTGTCCTAGACAGAGGCTGGGAGGGAGCTTGAGAGCTGGGAGACGAGAGCCGCAGGGGTGTTCGAGATCTTGGCATCCACACTGGTACTGTACACGAGCTTAGATAGTCCAGAGACGCCATAGGGTCCGTCCGGTGAACGCCACAACCGACAGAGATTGGAGCCAGGGAGGAAACCCCTGTGGCGATCAAGTGTCGAGAGACCTTGAGCGAGTGCGCCGGTCGACTGCGTCGAACTTGAGAAGTGTAGGGCACGACACGACCGCTGAGTTGCACCCGTGGGCGAAAGAGCCCCTCGCAGGAGTCATCGGGTGTAGTTATTGTGGCTACGGTGCACTACTAAAGCTGAGGATGCAATGGTCATGACCGAGCTGGCCCAACTGATTACTGAACATACCACATTGCTTGCGATTGAGCCATCCGATATGACTTATCCGAACGAAGTCGTAAGTATTGTGCCCCTCATGAAGTTTGCGGCATCGCATGCCTCGCGGCGCATTTCTTTACATCACGCATCCATCAGTAGGACGATGAAAAGAATCACCAAGCGGACGATGGGGACTCGCACATAACAGGCACTGCATGAGCGGCTCGGAGTTCTGCGCTACGTTCTCAAATTGCGATGTACGAGAGGGTGTGGATGGTAGCGTAAGTACTTACCTGACAAATGCCTTGCAAGAAGCCTAAAATACCTCGTCGCATCGTGAAGAGCGACATGCTCTCGGAGGCTCTCCGAATCCGCCAGAGGCAGAAAGACAGGAGTGCAGCCTACAAGCGGGTAGGTCAGCACTCATTCGGTGAATTATCTTCGAGCCGCATCAGTGACAGAGCCACTGGTCAAGCACAGAGAGAGCCAGCGACGTCGGATGAGCATAGATTTAAAAGCTAAAAAGCAGACGGTCGCACTGAACTGCACAATAAGCAGTGCGCCCCGAGCACCCAAAGCGCAGACATCAACCGGACCGCACCCTTCATGTTTCACATGTAGCCGAGGCTGACTCGTGCTTACCTGGTACTAGTCAATGCTAAGCATAGCACTGGCCCATGATTAAGTATCCTGCCTGAGCCTGGACGTCCGCTCGCCGTCACCGGGGAGGACTATAGGGGTGCGAGAGCACTGAGATAGTGGCAGGCTGAAGTGTAGATCCTAGAGAACAGAGAAAAACAGCAGCATCAGGGAACGTGCAGTCCGATACTAAGCCAGAGGTATGCGTATGGGCGAGCGAGTGAGCGCAGGAGAAGAGTGGACTCCGAGGAGGCCGACCGCCAGGGCGGATGACGTGCACGTGGCAGGGCCGGACTTCGGCGCTAAGGTGACCTGCCTCTCCTCGCGACTCATCCGTCTCGCCATCGCAACTCCTAATTATTGACATACCGTTCTCTCTTGCCGCGCGATGCAGACCCAGGAAGCTGCGCAGGCGTATCGGACTTGTGATAAACCCCTCCCCCTCATCCATACTTCTTCGATATTCATTTCCACTTCAGAAATCTGCGGAGAACATCGTGAGCACGAGAATCACTTCGCGTGGACCGGACTGGTTGCTCACGAGTTTGTTTGATATTTCTGTAAGATGCCGCGCTTTTTGATGACTCTCCCTTCATCGACCCCTCAGGCCTCATCCCCTGATGCCCCGCTCCATGTCTCTGCCATCAACGCTTCTCGCGTCTCGAACGGCCTCCCCAATGTGGACGATCACAGCGAAAGTCGTATCTCCGTATTCAACCGCCTCGCTCACCGAAGGCGAACTATTGTCCATGCGGAGTACCTGGTCTACTCAGACGGCTACTGGGACAGGGATCCGCGCGCCTCTCCGAGACCCTGCCGGGACGCAGACGTTCGATACGCAATGGAGGAGAGCGTAGAGGCGCTCCGGCACGAGAACGACGCAATGCGCATGCAAATTACCACTCTCTCCTCCCAGCACGCTCTGGACATGCAGGACATAGACCGGAAGATGTGCGATATGCTCGCGCGGCTTGACGCTCTTACGGGATTCTAAAGTATGCGCTGTCTCCTTCGCTTTCGTATTAGCTCAACAATTTTATATAGGTTCCGGAGGAAATCGGGTCAAGGACGGTCAACAAAGAACTCGCAGGGGACATGATACGTAACTTGTGGTGTAGTATAAGCAAACCTTTGACATGTACACTATAACCTGCCACACGGTCTAGGATGCGCGTCCAGACTACGGCTGTCACGTACCAGTACAGATGATAGATGATCGTGCTCAATGCCGGCCAGTTTTATAGGGGTGTAGACGATTGTGAAACGTTGCTCACGTTCAAATGCACCGTGTTATCAGCTGTCAGGCCTCCAGGTATAACTGCTGCCTTCAAACGTTCCAAGAGCCGGATCCGTGGCGTGCGTGCGAACGTCTTGAATCTGGAGATGCGAAACACTGGGCGATGTTAGCATGCAGGGAATACGACAGTGAGTATCGATATACTCACATGCCGAGGTTTGGACAAGTCTGGAGCTCCACCGAGGTGAGCGGCGCGAGCTTGTGGCCCACTCGCACGGAACTGCGCGTGCTCGGATCCCCAGCGGAGGTGGTTTCCACTCAGTGTCCGTAGTCTCGAACTGCCTGAGCGAAATGGGCAGTGGCAACTAGTAGCAGCCCCAAGTTCGTAAGATAAGGCGTACGAGGGGGCAGGGCACAGAGTAACGGACTCACCAAAACCGCAGGGACCTCGTTGTTCTCCGCGAACGAGCATGTGTCATCACGATCATGCACACCGGAACCGTCGTCGATGAGGTTCTCGTCCGTCTCGAGCTTGTCCTCGAAGAGACCAGCTATGTGAGAGCCGCGCCCAGCATCGACCATCCTCCGGAATGGATACGGCTCCGTAAGCTGGATCCACAGGCGCAATCCATCGAACCCAAACTCATGAAGCGCATGCTTCTCCGCGTACAGTGCAAGTCGCAGGAGCCGTATGTCGAACGCGCCCCGCTCTTGCTCTGCGTTCCCGTCGCGCGCGTCGGTGTGGATGATGAACTCGGCTTCGATGGACTTCTTCAGGGGGTCGACTGCTCCGGAGGGATCGTCGGAGTCCCAGCTCAGCACGCGAGTTCCCGTACCTCCGTCGGCACAGCGAACCTCGTGAAGCCCGTAACGAGGACTTGACGGATCCGTGTGGAGCGGCGCTGCCCGAAGGACCTCTGTTTGGTTGGGCACCGTCGGCTGCGCTACCGCAATATTGAAGAGGTGCCGAATGGAAAACCGTATCATGGAGCACTGGCCTAGGACTTGTGGGAGCCTCAACGGGACCGTGGCGCGCGCGGCATAGTCTATCACCAGATCGACCCGGACCTCCAATAGCTGTTCGGGGCACTGCGGGTACGCGCCGTACGCGAGCGTGGTCCTTGCAGACACCGCAATGGTCTCTTCGCCCAGTGTAGTCGGTGGGCAGTCCACTACCAATACAGATGCGCTGAAACCGAGGGTTTGGAGATCCAGGAGGCACCCAGGGTCGAGGTAGACAGACAGTGCGGGATCCAGAGGAGGTGCTGGTCCGCGCGCGGCACTAGGGGAAGGATGCGCGCGAATGAAGACTTCCCGGGATTTGAGAGCGAGATGAAGAGCGGGGTCTTGCAGAAACGCCCTACTGAGTCGCACGATGCGAAACGGGGAATGATCGTCTCTGGCGCATCTTCCATGTGTGGTGACAATCAACCCAGAAGGCTCTCCGACCGTAGATTTTGGAACACACAGTGGCAGAGCGATGAGGGCGTCTGCGTAGGAGTTCTTGCACTGGAGAAGGCCGAGACAATGAGCCGATGACTCGCGCTGGCAGTCCTCGCAAGTTGAGTTTTGCTCGTCAAGCGTGGAGAGGGCGCGGGAGGCTAGCGGAAGTAGAGCGAGGTCCAGGCAGAGGAGTCGGACGGATACACCTTGTGGCGTGAAGACGCAGTTGAGTGATGGTAGCTCGAGCTCGGCCTGAGTCCGGCCAAGACTCGTCGCGAAATCCGACGGAGAAAGAGGAATCTCGTCGACGGTGAATTCGAAGTCCTCGGGGGACCGGGCTAGGAGAGCGCTCTCGTGCGCACGGCCGCGCCACGCGGTGTTCAGGCTGCGCACATCCCGCTCGTCTTGCAGAAGACAGCTACGGCCCCAAGCGAAGATGCTCTGGTCCGGGATGTTTCTGATGATTTCCTCCTGCAGACGAGCGAATGAATTCTGGCCCTCGCCATATATCGGGGACATGTGGATGCCGAAGATCCCCATGAGGCAGTACGCCTTGTCCTCGATGCGGGTGGTCTGCCGTCTCGCCGCCCACGACATCCGTCGAGCGACGCTGAAGGTGCTCAAGCTAGCTCTACCAACCAGGAGAGCAAAGTCTATGCCCGTAACCTTTTCGAGCGTCGCAGCCAGCCCCATCTTTGTACCCAGGAAGTGCCACGAGCGAGAGAGGAATACGATGTGCTTCGGCGCGATGAGCTCCTGAAGGGTCCAGCCACGAGTGTGCCATCGGCTCTGCCAGAATGCTAGGCTAGTTGCGGGAGTAGCTCCCTCCGGGACATCAGCGAGATAGACATAACAAATGTCTGCCAGGCGATACCACTCGAACATGGAGTTGATTGCCTCGGATAACTCCGCGCTGCTGGATTTGTCAATGCAGCAAGAGTCGATCCATACGAGGTCAAAGCCAGCTTTTCGCGCGACCGCGCAGATGCCCTTGATCTTCGCAGAAAGGTCGGGATGGTCGAGAAGGGATGCCGGCCGTGCAACCTTGAAGCGCCGCGACTTGGGCGCTTCGAGTGCTGCGCATATGTCGGCCTGGAGCTTCCGGACGTCGTCGTACGACTGCTCACCGCCTGCACTCGCGGGGCGCCACGTATGCGAGAGAATGGCGTAGGAGCAGCTTTCCGGATCATCAATCCAGACAAAATTGCCGGTGTGCGTGTGTAGGAAGCGCGGCATGCCACCTGTTGACATTGTTAGCGAGAATGCGCCGCGCCTGAACCCGTTTCATCTTACCGGGTTCAACTGAAGGTGAAAATTCAGATCAGACGAGAATACTCAGCGAGTTCGCGGTGAGTGTGCTAAGGACCAGTTATTATATACTGCGGCTCGCACAGCTCGAGGTCAAAGACACTCACCCAAGCCCCGCCTACGGAGCGGCGGATCCCATCAATCTGGATATCGTGCAACAGGCGGTGATGAACGTATGTTGCAGCTTCGCAAAGTCAAAGCCTGCCATACTTATATACGGAGCAAGCCGATAGCTTGGCTGATAGGCAGTAGAGCTGTGTAGCCTGGGCCTTAGCGACAGTTGGAGAGCCTGTGTGACTCCTGGCGGACGCAGGTCATGCATAGCCATCGGGCGATGCAAGCTGCCTGCTGGTGGGAAATGCAGTGCTTTAGTCCCATTAGTTGATTAGAGCCCTGCAGCAGTATGATATTGGCATGAGAGGGGCGCACGAATGGGGCTGTGATACTTAGCAAGGGTATCTGAGTAGTGCACACGTAAGGGCAATAAAACAAGAACAACTTACTTGCGTTCTGATAGCCCCCGCTGAACAGTGTTCACGTATGATGGCCTAGCATATCGCACAAAAAGAACAATCGAACCGAACAGCATCTCGGTTGCGTTGTGGTGGTCGTTGTCGTTATCGTTGTGATTGCCGTATGTACGAATAATGCGGCGAGGAGAAAGTGCAGCGAGGAGAAAGTGCAGCGACAGCGAATGCCGGCCATTAAGCGCCCTTTGGCGCGAGTCCAATTCACACGCTGCTGTTACTGCAGAGGTTTACCGTTTTCGAACTAACAACCCAGATAGAGCACTCATGATGCAAGGCAGGGACGATGTATATTCGGCCACGTAAGTGACATAACTGTCGAATCAGCACGTCGGGCACTGACGGTCACTTGGGTCCGCGATTTTTCTCCCAACAGAGGTGATTAGTAGATACTTCACTCGGGTATCGCGGATTTTTCAGTTCCACAGTTGGCTTGAATCATGCTGATCCTCTACTCCATGGTGCCACTACTATGCGGCTTCGAGAGTCGGTGGCTAGAGAGTCATGACAACGATACCTCGCCTACAAATCCTCGCGAGGTTGTCGTGGATGACTGTCCTGTGGCCCTATGGCCTTCATACGCCTAAGAGACCACTTGCACCGATATCCACTTCCGACTCGCTCCATGGTGCTTCGATGAGCTGGACGCCCTCGGATTCAATATAAGCCCGATGGTGTACATGGACTGGATTGAGCCTACCACTGTCTCCTCGCTGCGCAGGAACATGCCAACCACCCTCTCGACTCGCATCTGCTCTGCCGCTCAGCGTCCTGTAGGCCAAATGGAGCTGCAGGAGATTATCTACCTCCGGGTCGTTCCCCGCCAAGTTGGAAGCGCGAGCCGCCTGGCAACCCCCGACACTACCGCAAGCTTCACTATTTTCTACCCATCCCCTTCGGCTGTCGATCCTTCAAATATCGGCTGCGCCTTCCCCGCTTTCCCCAGCGGCATGCTGCAGCGCGAGGAAGAGCGCACGTCCGAATTCAACTCGCAATCCCCCACGATGACGCTGGTAGAGGTCGAGTTCGTCCTTCCACAAGCACCTCACGAGCCCGACACCTCCCCCACCAGCATGCGCCTCCTTCGTGTCCGCTTGGAGCTTCCCTTTCAACGTGCGGACGGCGCCGCGTACGAGGTACTTTTGCTCTCCGTCTATATCTCGGACAGGATTCCAGCAACACCCATTAGTCAGAGCACTGGCCATGTGCGCCTGGTGGAGGATTTTATGCCGCCCTCGGCTCGCAGTACTGGCGAGACTATTAACGAATTGGACCCGCCGAGTCCAACTCCTACCGAGAGCCCCGGTTCGGAAGGGCCTTTTTGGTATGCCATGACGACGCCTGACGACGGTGAGAAGTCGTCAAGCGAAAATAGTGAGTCGCGCACATCACCTATTCGTGGTACAGTTTAGTTTACGACTTACTAGGAGCGCTGCGTGGCGAAGGTGCCAACGTCACCCGGGAACGCCACGAATCTCGACGTCGCGTAATCCCACTGGCACTGTTGTGGATTATGTTACAATAGACACTAGGTTAGCTTAGTCTCGACACGTACGGTCACTTCGACTTGTTTCGAGTACCTTCTATTTGATTCCTTCATCCCTCTCGTCCTTTCTCCTTCTCGTTCGACCTTTCTGTGACCTTTCTTTCTGATCTCTCGACTTGTGTAGAAGCCTCTAGTGCTTGTATCTCGAGATGTATATAAGGACAGGCTCTGGGAGCCTCGTAATACAGCCTTTTTACCATCCAACGTACCCGCGCTCTCAGCGTCTAAGTGTGATCTAACGCCGTTCTAAGTGGACAAGATTAGCTCTGTTTACAGGTTGAAGTAAGCATAGTAAGCTGCGCGCTACTATACACGCTACCTCTTCAGCGGCCCTATCGCCCATTCGACTCGAGGACTCGTCGACGAAGGATTCTATCTCAGCTCATTATCATTCTCGTAAGACCGTATTCACAACAGGCACAGTCGGAGCCGTCGGAGTATGACGCTTCGTCCTCAGGTCCCCGCCCTCGCGCTTTGTCAACTGGACCCATCTTCATGCCACTGCCCGCGCCGCTCTCAAGCGATGTTGGTCACGCCCACGCGGATGGCAAAGGGACGGTTCCCCCTGATGGTGTACTTCAGCGCCTCGAAGCGCTGCAGCGCGACAACGATGCCCTGCGAGCGCAAACGTCCGACACGGGGGCCTAAGTCATCGAGCTGACCCGCCAGAATATCTCCCTCTTCACCCAGATGGAGCAAGTCTTTTCGCAGCTGAACTTGTTACGGAATCAACAGGTCCGTATATCTGACCATCTTGCGCTGACGATGTATCCCTGACGCGGTGCCAATCTTTTACAGGGGCAGGTCTCGCATACTACAAGCACCGATGTCCAGTAATACTACCTATCGGCCCTTCCGTGGTTTTTCTCGGCGCAAAAGCAGTGAGCACATCCCTATTCGTGTTCTGCCGCAATCAGAGCGCTGATCGGCGCTGGACAACTCGGTCCTGCGTGGTAGCCGTGTTGCCCGTTTGCGCCGCCGGCGCGGTTCTGGGGCAAACGTCGATAGGGAGATGAGCGATGTCGTGCCAGCAGCTAGGACACGACAAGTGCGAGGTCGGGCTATCATGTCAATTCTGTGCAGGAGCGACAGTCTCTCTGCTTGCATAGTATTTCAATGGCATGCCGGTCGAAGCCAAATCGCCTCAGAATCCCCGCCATGATTAGCTACTTCGCGTCTACGGCTCCCTCCTGCTGAGAGTTCAACGTCCCGACCACCTACCAGCCCCATACATCCTATGGGAAAGTTCCAACACGCAAGCGCACCCCTCATCCGCGCGCTGAATCAAGAAACGTGCTTTAAATTCGTCTGGTATCCAGTAATGCTATCGTACAGTATACACAAGTAGTCTCACGACATGACTGACTAGTCAGTCGGATCGCCCCTCCCCAGAACCATCCCCAGACCCATTAGCACCCCACCGCAGATCCAAGATATAGATACATGTGAGAGCGGCAGCACACCCATCCCAACCAGCGTTGTTCATGAGAGCGCGGCGACCTTCTGCTTGATCTGGTCGACGACGGCGGGCTCCGCGAGCGTGCTCAGGTCCCCGAGCTGGTCACCCTCGCCCGCGACGATCTTGCGCAGCACGCGGCGCATGATCTAAATAGCGCGCGCATGTCAGCATCGCAACATCGCAACACGCGCAAAGGAGGCAGGGGGAAAACGCACCTTCCCAGAACGCGTCTTCGGCAGGTCCGAGACGATGAAGATCTTCTTGGGTGCCGCGAAGGGCCCGATGACCTTGCGCACCGCGAGCGTGAGCTCCTTGATGAGCCCCGCCTCGTCGTTCGGGTCGTACGCGAACTCCCTGCGAGAGCAAGTCAGCACATGTCGCGCATGGGCGCACAAAAGACAGGAGTGCTTACGGCTTGAGCGTCACGAACGCGTACACGGCCTGCCCAGTGAGCTCGTCCGCAGTGCCCACCACTGTCGCAATAGCGCATCAGCACGCTAGCCAGGAGGAGACAGGGGAGTTAGTGCGGCGCATGACCGGACGCACCTGCGGTCTCGGCGACGCCCGCGTGCGTTATCAGCGCGCTCTCGATCTCGGCCGTCGAGAGTCGGTGGCCAGACACGTTGATCACGTCTGCGTCCGTCTCGCGTTAGCTCGTCTGCGCGGTCATGGGGGTGCGCGGGGGCGCTCACCATCGACACGGCCCTTGATCCAGATGTACCCGTGCTCGTCGCGCGCGGCGCCGTCGCCCGTGTAGAAGTAGCCGGGGTACGGCTTCATGTACGTCTCCAGGTAGCGGTTGTGGTCTTGGTACACCGTGCGCGCAATTGACGGCCAGGGGCGCTTGAGCACGAGCACGCCCTCGACGCTGTTCCCGACCAATTCCTGCATCGCGTCCGAGTCAGTCGGGATGTACGAGCAATAGATTTGACATGACGTACCTCGCCGCTGACGGGGTCCAGGATCGCAGGCTCGATACCGAAGAACGGTACAGTTGCGGATCCGGGCTTGGTCTCGATGGCACCGGGGAAGGGCGTGACGACGATCGAGCCCGTCTCGGTCTGCCAGAACGTGTCGACGATGGCGCACTGCTTGCGCCCGACGTGGTCGTTGTACCAGTGCCACGCCTCGGGGTTGATCGGCTCGCCGACACTGCCCAGCACGCGCAGCGAGCCGAGGTCGTGGTCCTGGACGTGGTGCTCCCCAAGGCGGCGCAGGAGACGAATCGCGGTCGGGGCGGAGTAGAACTGCGTGATCTGGTGCTTGTCGACCGTCTGCCAGTAGCGCGAGGGCGTGGGGTAGACGGGCGTGGACTCGAACACGGTTGTCGTCACGCCGTTCAGGAGCGGGCCGTACACGATGTACGTGTGCCCGGTGATCCAGCCGATGTCGGCCATGCACGCGAACTTGTCGTCTGGGTGCACGTCGAAAACGTACTTGACCGTGAGCGCGGCGCACAGCAGGTAGCCGCCAGTGGTGTGGACGACACCCTTCGGTTTGCCAGTGGAGCCGGAGGTCTGTCCAAGTTTTAGTATGCGCATTTGACGAGAAGTGGCACTACGACTTACATAAAGAATGAAGAGCGGGTCCTCAGAGGACATGATCTCGATCGGGCAATAGCGCGGGACCTTGGCGATCTCCTCGTGCCACCACTTGTCGCGGCCGGCAGTCCAGGGCACCTCGTTGCCTGTCCTGCGAAGCACCAGAACATGTTCGACGAGCGGGCACTCCTTCACCGCCGCATCCGCGATGACCTTCGTCGCAATCGTCTTGCCGCCTCTGCGCCCCTCGTCGGATGTGATGAGCACGCGCGACTTGCAGTCCTGCACACGGTCGCGGAGCGACTCCGCGGAGAACCCAGCGAAGATGACCGAGTGCACCGCACCGATACGGGCGCACGCGAGGAACGCAGCGACCGCATGCCAGGTCATAGGCAGGTACACCGAGACGGTGTCGCCCTTCTTCACACCGAACTCCTTGAGAACATTCGCGACGGAGCACACCTCGCGGAGGAGCTGTGCATACGTGATGTAGCTGCCCTCGTTGGGCTCGTCTGCTTCGTAGATAATGGCGGTCTATCAACGATAAGGTGGTCAGCGCAATTCGTGAGGGAGATGTCGAGCTCGCAGGCTGAGGGAGCAGCAGCGCGGCCGGTGTATAAGGCACGTGATCGCGCGGCGGGCCGTGGCACCGCTGTAGTCATACGAGAATCCGAGTGTGTGCCCATGCAGCGCGCAATCGCAAAGTCGTCTCATGCGTACTTAGCGACCAATCGCAAGTACGGGGAGCGCAGACGGAAAGCAGGTTCCGCGCGCGTCCCCACGCAGTGCGCGCGGCGCTTGGGGCGGCGTGTGGAAACACGATGGGGACGGGTATTCACCTTGTCCGGGTGCTTAAACGCCCAGCGGTCGACGCAGTTGTACGACGCGTTCAGGCCGCCCTCGGGGAACCAGACGATGTCGCCCGTTTCGAAGTCTCCGGCACGGACGGTTTGGAAGGGACGATCCCAGTGGAGGGTCTGCTTCGCGGTCTAGGACGATCGGCGCGTGAGCACGGGATCGCGCCTGGAGAATTAAGCACGTACCTTCGCCCACCAGGCATCGCTCTCGTGACCGACGGTCTGGGAATGAAGGGACCTGCGCGATGGTCAGCTCAGACGAATCGGCGGGAAGCAGCGCTCGGTACTTGTATGCATGGATGTGCGGGCCAATGTGCGGCGTCTTATGGCCGTTCTTGAGGCGGGGCGCGATGGGGTGGGTGGGGACCCTGTGGTGGGTGTCCTCTGCGGGCACTTCAGCGGAGGCCATGGTGGTAGTGGGAGGAGAGGTGCGGTGGGTAGAGTTCCGAGTCGGGGCGGGCGGGGAAGGGCTTTAAGCTTGGCGGGTGACTATTATACATCGCGCGAAATGGGCGCGTGATCCAGTCAGATCACGGCCATTTCCTGACTTTTGCCCCTGAATTCGTTCTTATCCTCCGTGCGCGCCTCCGCCAGCTCGGAATGCGGGGTAGCGCCCGCCCCCTTTCCGGCCTAGCCTCTTCCCCACCGCTAAATGCGGTCTTCCGCCCTCCCCCACACCTTGGCGTCGACACTCCTCCATGGGCTAGCTCGGAGACCGAATGAAATGCGGGGCACGACAGCGAGCAGCCTCGTTACGTGTGCGGAGATGCGGGGTGGTAGAGCGGGCCCGCGACGGGGGCGAGCTTGAACGCCGTGAGTGCTGTCGTCCAACGTTCCTGTCTTCTTCCTCCGACGTCGCCGGGCACCCACGCACTTTACACGTCGCTCTTTTCTTGGAAGATCTCTCCAGGCAGCATTCAAGCAAACAGTGACATCCTGCAACACCCAGCAACGTCGGAAAGGGGCGCACTCAGCACTCGTCCGAGGGAACGCGAGACGCTCGTACGGACGGAACTGCAACGGTACGGCGCCCCCCACATTCATGATCCCCTGACCCCCGAACTCCTCCTCGAGCTGATCGGACGCGGGGAACGCACTCTCATACACGATCACAAACTGCGATCGCACACTCATGCGCTGCCGTAGGCTCAGCCTGTCACCCCGAGTTGGAATGCGCAGGTTGCCCAGACAAGCCTCCGCCCGCCGTGCCTGCCGCCCACAACCGCATTCTGCCCTGCTGACACGCCCAAGATGGCCGTAGAACACTTGACGACGCCCCTCGCTCGCACCCTCCCCTGGCTATAGCAGTGTGTGCACGTCGTCCGCATCCGCGCAAGCGTGCGCCCCTATCCCGCCCGACGGACGAGTTTCACGCGCTTCGCCTTCCGCGCACTCCGCTACGCGCCGTCTCGCCCAGCTCGCGATATCTACGGAAACGCTACGGATTCCTGTCCATTTGCGACGTGGTCAGCGGGGAGGCGCGTCCTGCGGGCGTGATTTCCGAGGCGTTCGGAATTGGCGCCTGTGGGAAGCTGCGACGGGTTTCGTCACCGAGACGAGCGCGAAGAGCTTCGCGGAAGACGTACGGACGGCTCTAGGACCCCTGACAATCCTGCCAGATGCCTTACACAGTGCCCGGACCAAAATGAGGCTTCTAGGAGCTCTATGCCTTACACAGAACGGACCAAAAACGGCGTTCTGGACGCGCGAGGCCTTACACACGCCCGGACCAACTCTGATTCAGGACAAGATTTGGGGTCGCGTCGAGCGAAATTTCGGGTTTTTGAACGGCCTTACACAGTTCCCGGACCAAAACGGGTCCCTCGGTGCGTATGTCTTACACACGACGCGGACCAAAACCGCCTAAGAGGCCCCAAATCTTGCCCGGACCAAAACGCGATATTTTGTGGCCCGCCGTGTAAGGCATCTAGGAGGATTGTCAGGGGTCCTACGGCTCTGCAGGATTCGTCGTGCAATTGGGCGAGAAGGTGAGTTGTGCGCTTCTTTTCTTTCTTTCCGCAAGTCCGCAGCTTTGATGGAAGCACGGGTCAGATGGGCAGTTCCGGAACGCTCCTCGTAAGTAAATAGAAGGGTTTCCGTGCACAGCAGCCGATGACGCGGTATGGCTGAGGTGGACACCTTCGTTCTGAACGCAACCCGCAGCATGTGGCGCAGAGCCCAACGGCATTCATTAACGGCAACTGCGTCTAGGTACTGAAGCTTCCGACAGCTCCCTCCTGGCCACCTAGCCCGACCTGCGGTTCTGACCGTGCGAAGCCGGAGAACTTCAGATTTGTCCGAACGCTTTCCGTGCTCGCTTAGACAACGTATCACGTTCGAAGCCGGTATCGTGGAGTAGTTCCATGAGAAGTGTGATCCAGAGGGACGCCTCGGAAGAAAAACATGGTAGCGCTTCGATAAAGGTGGTCTTGGCTGACTGAAAGCGGTGAGTAGGCAAGAGGTGATATTCAAGAGATGCCTGCGCATACATGTGGCGTGTTTGCTGATGTATGCCCGCCACCTGCCTCTGTACTACTGTCCATCGTCTGACGTCTCCAGCGCCTCTGTCTTCTCTGCTCCTACGAACGCGGCGAACGTCCTACCATCGGCAGGTGCGCATGCATAGGCAGATTCGTTACGTGGGGAGGGAGATAGCGTCCTCAGCATCGCTCTGTACATAGACATTCAATTAGCTCAGGCTTTCCTCACTCATACCAATGCCGTACACATGCGCGACGCACCGTCTTCTGCTCTGACAACTTGAGCCGCGAAAAGATCTCCGCGATTTGCGATGACAGAATGGCGTTCTGGGACGTCAGAGCAGCGACTTGCGCGGCCAAGTCCGTCGTCTGTGCTCGCAAGGCATCGTTGTCGCGCTGGATTATTTCGGGACTGTTATAGCTCGAAGACGGCGGCCCGGAGATATCGCCCCAATGAGCACGACCGGTTTCCGGAGACACTGGCTGAGCCTCGAGGACTACACTTCCTGGTGTCTTCGTTATGCCGGGGACATGGTGGCGGGCAGACAACACCATGGGCTGTATTGTGAGTGAGCCTTTAGCACTTCACTACCACTGCATACCGATAAGCGCACCTCCGAGGACGAACGGGGTTTGTCGTCTCGAGGACTGCCCGTTGTGTCGCCACCGGCTTCATCGCCGTGCACACCCTCGTCCTGAGCGTCGTGCGTGGACGGTTTTCCCGGGCCTTTGGGTGGGCCCTGCGCGACGCTGGGTCCCGTATACGTTGGGCTAGTGTCGTCCTCGAATGCCATCATGGTGTGCCAGGACAGGTCAGTCGTGTCAGGGTCCGGCTCCGGAGTTGGGCTATCCGGACGAGTCGGCCGTTCCCGATCATCTCTTTCCGCATGCCCTTTGTGACCTGGAGGCAATGGCAAGCTAGAAATGTTCTCCGAGATCTCGACGTGGAGCCAGAGGACGTCGGAGTCGCCTGCTGGAGGGCTTCGAAAAGGCAGCTCAAGGGAAGCACGGAAGATCCGCGCGTCGACAAGCTCGTTCTCTAGGCCTGAGTCCGAGTATCGATAGAAATGGAGCACGGACTGAACGTTCGCCAAGGGGTTGGTGGGTAAAAGCGAGCTGAACCTGGATCTGTGCCTCTGGGTGCGCCGCGCCGGCGGCACCGCTCCCAAAGCAACCACTTCGGACCTGTGCATCTCCAGCGAATGAGTGATGGTGAAGCAGACCGACGTGTCCGGTTGCGGAGAGCGATCCCCGTGCTCACTGAACAGGGAATGTAGCACGATGTGAAGATTTATCACTGCCAGCCGGGCCATCCATGTTCCATGTTCCACGGTGTAGAAGCTGATACATGTCGAGAGCGTCGTCTGGCCCATCATCTCATCTTCTTCTATCCAGTCCTTCGACTGCAGGGGACTTACGGTGAGCCCCAAGGCATATAACTGTTCGATGCACCAGGGTGAAAACCGCACATCGAGGACGGATCGAGTTCCAAATCGTGGCCAGAGCTTGATACTCTTCGGGATCGTAACGTGGGACTTCGTCAAAGAAAGCCGGGACTGTTGGCTGAGGAGCGACACCTCGGCTGGCTTTGACAGAAGGTGCTGCCATACCTCCGACAACGATGTTCGTGCCAGACGGACGGTGCGGAATGGTTCGTGATCCAGCGGCCTGCCACAGTCGATGTGTGTCGCGATCGCCAGGCCAGGATGCTCGCCGACCCCCAGAGGAGGCCGACAAAGAGGCAAGGCGATGAGAGACCCCGTCGAGTCTTCACATTGCAGGAGCGCAAGCATGTGTGCACGGCCGAGCCGCGCACATTCGTTACAGAGCAACGTACGACCCATCGCCCTCGCGAAGACGTGGAATATCTGCGATATCGCCGTCAGGTCGATGCAGAGGAGCTGGACGCGGACGCCTTGGGGAGTGAAGACGCAATGTAGCGGCGGAACGTCCCCTATCGCCAGTCCTATGCGTGATGCGAAAGCCGCCGGCGACATTGAAGTGACGTTGGAAGAGAGAAAGCGGGAGAAATACCATGGTGATGGAGCCAAGACCTCCGGATCAGGTGCAGGGTCTATCCAGCCGACAACCTCGCCTCGAGTCAGGGAGTGCAGGGTGCAGCTTGTTCCCCATGCGAAGATACTCTGGTCTGGGATGGTCTTGATGATCTCTTCCTGAAGGCGACGGAACGCGTTATCCCCCTCGCCATAGATTGGAGACAGGTGGACCCCGAAGATGCCTAGTAGGGAATATGCTCTGTCCTCTACGCGTGTTGTCTCCCGCAACGAGGCCCACGACATGCGTTGCGCAACGCTGATCGACGCCACGCTGGCGTGTCCAACCAAGATATCGACACTTATCGTGGTTATATCTGCCAGTGTCGTTGCAAGACCCAACCGCGTGCCTAGAAAGCGCCAGGTGCTAGTCAGAAATATGACGCGCTCGGGTGCGATGAGCTCCTGTAGCGTCCAGCCGCGCTTGCGCCACCTGCTGAACCGGAATGAGGAACCGAGTGCCTGTGGGTGGTCGTCGTCGGGTACATCCGCCAGGTAAACGTAGCATGCCCCCGAGAGCCTGTATAGCTCATACATGGAGTTGATGGCCTCCGAGAGCTCAGCACTGCTCGCCTTGTCGATGCAGCACGAGTCGATCCAAATGAGTTGGAAGCCGTTCATCCGCGCGACCAGGCAGGCTTGGCTGATCTTCGTAGAGAGGTGGGGATGGTCGAGCAGTGACGTCGTCCTTACCAGCCCAGAGCGTAAAGATTCTGACTAAGGAATGGGTATGATCAGGAACATACAGGTCGAGTGTGGGTCGCAATAAACGCGGCGAGTCCGACAACGTCTCCGATTGGGATCCGACTTCATGTCGCTGGGCCGGTACAAAACTTGCGGATTGCAGCTTTTTGACGTCTTCGAGAGACTGCTCGCCTCCATCCGCGGCAGATCGCCACGTGTGGGAGAGTATAGCGTACCGAACGCGGGCTGGGTTATCATGCCATTCGAACTCGCCCGTGTATGTATTCAAGAAGCGTGGCATACTGTGGATTTTCTCGCTAGCGTGAGCGATTGTTTCGCTAGCGGCAACAGATGTGAGAGAACTCACGGTACGGCCACTGAAGGTTGTAAATTTGCAGCGTGGATGGAGAGACGAGCGTACGAGGAAGAGAAGAGCCGCTGTCAGCATTTTGCTAGCGCCGTACTGTGACCTCTCAGACAGTCACCTTGATTCTTGAAGCGCCAATCTGTCGTATATTTACAGATACATGAATAAGTAGCTCCTCCCGGCTATGATAGAAGCACGGGTCAGGTGAGTGCGCTGTTCCGAGTCGCTCCAGAACGCGCCGCGTAGAACACTTCGTGCACAGTCGATGACGCAGCGCGACTGAAGCGAACTGATGGTTCCGAACCCAATCCGCAGTGCAAATCCCACTCACGGAACGTGGTACAACCTCCAATCGGAGTTACGGTGGTCGCCGTACGGAGTATGGTGGGCCGTGAAGACCTCTGTGCAGGCGACTGCGAGAAGCTCGGGTGGGTCGCAACAGGGGACGTGTCGTTGCTGAATTTTCGCGGCTCTATCCTGGGCAGCCCGACCTGCAATCCGAACCGTGTGAAGCCGGAGGACGGAGACGGCGTCGGAACACTTTCTGCGTTCGCTTGAGCACGTCGTAATACACTTACTGGTCCGGTCCAAGGAGAGAATTGCAAGAAGTCGGATTCGATTCGACGACTCAAAAAGCAACGTACCTTGGCGCTCCGAGACAGGTCCTCCGAGCCGACCGAGGGCGGATGTCTGGACAGCCGAAGATCTTGAGTGGACGCCGCGCATGTGGATGATGCCCGCAGAGAGGCGAGAGGCGAGAGTAAGCGCGAAGGACTGAAGACGGGAGAAAAGTGCGGAGCATCACCTACTAACACATAAACAAGTCGTGAGCTCCCTTTGCTTCTCATCGGCCGATGTGAGCGTGAGGGTGCGCGGGATGAACTCGAATCTGCACTCTTCTTCGTGCTGCACAACGCCACAGGAGAGGATGAGCTTGAACGATCCTCCATGCGCGCCCGGAGCGATAGCGCTTGTTAAAGACGCACAAGCAGTAGTACCGAAGCAGGGAAGCGTGTGCAGCGAGTCTGCGACGGCGTCCTTGAGGCCCAGTCGATATTCTTGATGGGTGTGTTGCGCCGATGCTGTGGATGCGCGGTGAATGCGAATGTCGGATGCATTGGCCGAGGGTGATGCGAAAGTCGATGAGTACTTCTCTGCCGCTCCGCCCGCCTAGCAGGGGGTGCTGTGTGGCATTCTCTAAGTTGAACCCCTCAGCCAAGGTATCCACTATCCTGCGCGTGGATACCACCGGGACCATCGGCGTGAGTCCGTGGGCGCGGCGTTTCCTGAAGAACCTGGTTGCAAGTTCAAGTCGGATAGAGATATACATAGGAGGTGTACGGTGAGAATTTGAGTTTGCCAAACGGCGGCGCTTAAACTCCGGCGTTTGCCGTGGCGTTCAGTAGCACCGGCGGCAGTGCGATTTGTTGTGGTCTCCGTATTGGCAATGAATTCAGACACGTCTCTCCGTATCCTCGTACACTTGAACACGCCATAGTCCATCCAATCCACGGCTTATCCGAACTGGATCTCTCCAAAAAGCGGTGAGGTTTTCTGCATGGGTATTATCTTGTACCACCCTGCCGCGCGCAGGGCTTAAAGTTGCTGAAAGCGCTCTCGAATACAGGCATCCTTGTATCAGAACACCCTTCGAGCCTCACTCCTTTCCATCACCAAGCTTCTCTTACATGATACCGCTGAATCCTAGACGACGAAGGCGCTGCGCTCGCTGGCAGTCGGCAGCCCTCACATCCCGATAGTTATGCATGCCGGCCGCGAGGCGTAACAGCCTACCAACATCTATCAATATCGATCTGTTGCCTCGGGCGGCATGCGTCAACACCGTAGCCATCAGGATATCTCATGTGCAACTCCGAAGAAGTGTCCGGTACGCAATTCCATCTCACACCTAACTTCTCGAGAGCCACAGTGATGAAAGATCACTCGGAATGTGCTGTGAAACGGCGCTCGAGTTGCGATGCAGCGAGGAGTTGTTCGATGGGGCTACGTCCCTCGAACTTCACTTCGGTCCTCGCAAAGTCGTCCGTGAGGCCGACTACTAGCTCGAGTTAGATAGCGTACGCTGCACCGACAACGGTGGCAGCGCAGAACCGTCAAAGACAAAAAATCGATGTGCGAATGGGCACGTTGTTCTCCCGGTGATATGTGCACCTCACCGAAAATTCAGACAACGGTCACTAAGAAACCTAGATATCATACATCTGCGGAAGCCTATAGCATGGGCGACTTGCTCCATACCAAGTCGCATTTCGATGGCCATTCTAATGCTCCGTCGGAGTGACGACGATTGCATGCTTCTCCGGTGAATACGCTGGTAAAGGAACCTGTGCGGACAATGTCATATCAACGGCTGTGCCCGCCGCTGCGTGCGGAATTCCGTGAGCGATGCTTTCTTCACAGGTTTCCATACAATCACATCGTGGAGATGAAGCCTGTCACAATACTCATGTGAGGTTACAAATACTCTGCTGCCTTGTCCATGAGTATATGAACTCACTAGCTAGAACACCTGCATGCCAGCTTGCCTCGCTTCCACAGTCATGTCCCCGTCTCCAAGTATACTCTTAAAAAGCCTGGTCCCTCCCACCGCTACACAGGCCACCGTCCGGTACCAGTGGAACTACCCGACAGCACATGATCTAGTGGGTCCTGAAATAGAAACCATTATCCAAGCTATATCGGAGCTCCTACAAACAAGTTACGACCAGTTCAGAGTGGTTGCAGTCAGCTTGGGACTCTGGGGTGGGTGAAGCATCTTCCTGGTCGTATTCATCGTGCTGTCTCTGAGACTAATCTATCACATACACAGGTGTTCTCACCGGTCTCATGGCATGCACCGCTGTCATCCTGAAGTTCGTATGCTCTATCTATATTTTGCAATCATATGATAAATTTAAACCTTACTGGTTGCCCCCTCAGAAGACAGGGTCTACAGCAGCGCTCGCGCAGGATACTGGCCGTCTCAATATTGCTGCTATACATTCTCAGTGCACTATATTGGGTGAATTTACTGGTTGGGCTCTCGAACAACTTCCGAGAGATGTTGTCGATCGCCACTTTCTCTCAATTCCGGTCTTTTCCTTTTGCCCAATGCGTTGTAGGTTGGCACAACGCCCATGACGACGAGGTTGGCAACGCACTCTGCCGGGATCTGATAGGCGGCGCTGAGCTGGAGTACATTCAAACCGCCGAAGACCGTGCATTCAATGAAAGGACAAGATCAAATCCAGCGACTACCATGAGCTCGATTGCGTTCGCACTCTCGGTATGTTTCAGGAGCGCTATGCAAAGAACTAAGAATTCATTTGTTCGTTCTTGCAGGTGGCTGTAGGAGATGCAATAGTCTGGTGGCGTGCCTGCGTGATATGGTCCAGGAACCGTGCGGTCATAGCTCTGGCTGTGGGCGCTGTCACCGCAGTTTTCGGTGAGTATATGCCGTTGCAGCTAGTCAATCTCTAACCTCTATTTCACAGGGACCGGTGTCGCAGCTCCAACCATCATCGCCACCGGACCGGGATTGGCGTCTTGGTTTTCGAAGTATGGTGTCGCTGCTTCGGGCCTGTCCCTCCTGAGTAACATCTTTACCACAACTCTCATTGCATATAAAGCTTGGTAAGCATTTCTAAATGTGCTAATGTCTCGACGACGATTCAACCTCACGGACCCCTGACATGCGTCGTTCAGGGAGCATCGGCGTATCTTCAAGGATAATCTGGATGGTCTATCTGTCACCACACAGGCGCAGCGAATATTGACTCTCCTCGCGGAGTCTGGGGTGGCGTATTGTATACTTTGGGTATGTGACAATGCTACATTAAGCTACCTCGCCTCGTCTCTCGGATTATTGTGCCGGCCTCGCTCAGATTCAGTTTTCGCTCACCGCGGATCTTGTTTCGACTACAGGCCATCGTGTTTTCTCTTCAAGCATATGGCGCTACAAACGCTGGTTTTAGCCATGGGCAGGCTTTGGGCGCCGGGTCAGGCTTTGATTCAATGTTCGAGGGAGCTTTTCCTATGTTAGTCGTAAGTCCCTCTCGTGCACGCTCTTCCACCGGTACGGGACCCTTATGTTAGGCATCTTAATGGCCGATATAGGCGATGTATCCGACGCTGGTCGTCCTCCTCGTTTCCATTCAAGCTCAACAAGGAACCATACACTTCACGCAACAAACCACATCGGAAGTGCTCCCCGTCGCCATACCCCTTCGCCGGATCTCCGTAACGAGTCTTGATCATGACTACGACAGTATAGCCCCTAACTCCGCGGCTACCTCGAGCACGGACTCGCTGCGGGTTCCCTCACCTACACTCTCACCCCGTATCGACGGACGGAGTAGCGTTCCAGAGTCCTTGACGCTGACCCATTCTATTATGGGCGATGCAAGACTCCGGCAGTTCGGTATAGACTATGAAAGTCCGGGTTCGAGCTAGTGAGGTCTATCAATACTCCGTATTACCTCGTGCTTACCAACACTCCCTTTGACAGATGCAGTCGACGCGGGTACCTGCAAATGTCCCGAACGATCGTCACCGACCGTAACGCCTGTGGGACAGCAGTACGAGGCACCTACGCTCAGCTGTAAAGTATTTACCGATCGAAAATCGTGCGATCGGCCTCGAAATCACGCGAGTAGCTATTCGATATGTGAGTATGTACGAGACGGCCGAGAAGGATACACACATATGGTCGGTTCACGGAGATGATACGTACTTTTGAGAGCCCATAGATCGCGCGAACCGAGCGAACTCGAACCAGCCCGCACACCAGAGTCGTCTCCGCCAAGGCTCTTGGCAGCAAGAACATATGACTGGCACTAGGACGGTGATACGAAAGACATGCAGAATCAACTTACACTAAAGAACGGGCGCGCACGTAGCTCCAAGATACCTATGTCACAAGAGTCCACTTCTCGACGGGAACCGGACGCGTCGCTGTAACAGCTCACCAATCAGTCTCTTTTTGGATATTACGGATGCGTAAAACTCACCTTGCTGGCCATTATCATGCCGGTACGCCATCATACTCCACTTCTCCGTCCGCATCCGTGCGACGCGCCTCCGACTGAGCTTGAACCGAATACGAGTCTCATACTGCACGTACTCCTGCATCGTGAGCACGAAGAACGTGCCAGGCGCAGGCTCGCCCTTCCCTTCGAAAATGCGCGCCATGTCCCCGATGAGCGCGCTCGCCGCCACCTCCAACGGCCGCCAGAACAGAAGCGACGTGCGCGGGTCATACGGGGAACCAGTGGTGTTCATCCACGGATCCATGGAGAAGCGCTGCGCAGGCGTCACCTGCGCCTCCCACACCTGGATGTCGGTGATGTCGCGCGAGAAGTCCTCCGGGAGCGCGGTGGCGATGGGGAAGGGGAGCGCGTTGTACGCGGTCGCGATGATGTTCTCGAAGTCGACGAGCCACGGGTCGGTGCGCACGCGGCGCGAGGGTACGCGGCGAAGGCGCTCCGTGACAGGGATCGGCCAGGACCCGTCGTACCGAGGGATGTCGGATACCATGCTGCCGCTGAGCACGCGCGCGAGGAATTCGGAGAGCCAGTGCGCGGGGTACCCGACGTGGTGCAGGTAGAAGAGCAGCGCGAAGAACGCCGTGAGGTTGTGGGGGGCATGCACGTTGTGCGGGCGGGGTTTGGAGCGAGCGGGGATGAAGGTATTGAACAAGACACGTGTGAGCCAGGCGGTGAGCTCTTCCCGGGTTGCGAGCGAAGAAAGGGGGCGAGGCAAAGAGTGGGAACCGAGCACACAGACCTTCATGACGACTTTGGAATCGATGACACGACACCCGAGGTATCTGGACACCTCCGTTGGGAGCAGTAGTGTGTACCTGAATCATCTTCAGCACCGAACACGCGGATGGAATATATCTATCACGCACGTGGTGAAGAATTCATCGTCGCCACCCCACGCCATCGTATTCAGCATACAGTTGAAAGCCAAGGCGGCTTGTGGGTCGTCTTGCAAGCTCGGAATCGCATAGACAATCACGTTCTGCGTCCCATGCGTATAGTCCCTGCTCGATGCGATCAACCTTGTACGTATATGCGCAAAAGAGACGAACGTACGGTACGTTGCTGAGCCACATCCTTGTGTACTTCCTCGGGAATTCCGCAGGACGTGTTACATCGCCTCTGCACTGCATTTTCAGCAGTTCATCGGAGAGGCCGCCACAAATAAGTTCAACGACGATATGCCCGTCAAGCGATTTGATGGCAGCCGCGACTTCCTCGAAGAAGGCCCCGCAGGCCAGGGCAGCGAGCATGTTCTCGTCCGTTCGCATTGGGTCCTGTGCATGAGGCCCATTGCGCTTGTTGAAGTGGTCCATGTACGCGACCGTGTGGAACATGTCGATCGTGTAATCGGGGTAGCCATCCGCATCCGGATAACACTTCGGATCGGCGCATTTAGTGTCCTGGAGATATGGATAGTCATTTCACTAGATAAACAGAAGCGCAGCGCGCGTATACGCACGAAGAGCGTGATGTTTGGCTTCCACTCGCTTTCTATCTGCTTCTGGAGCTGGAACGTCTCATTCAGCACCCACTTAAGACACAATGAATAAATGGAGCCCACCTTGCGTTGCGTAGATTCAGATATCTCCTCGTTGTTTCGGATGCGCTTCCATGCCTCGTCGAACCCCGGATGGCGCTTCAGCAGCTCCCGCGGCGGGAAGAACACCTTCGTGGTCCAGTACCACGCCTCCTCGTGCAGCGGCACCTTGCCGCCCCTGCTCTCATTCCAGAACTTCTCCACAAGCGTCTCCATGTTGTTTCGCACGTACGCCAGCATCTCCGCCGCGGGCGTGTTCCGTGAGAATATTGGCCAGGTCCTGAGCTGCTCAGGGGTCAAGCTCTGGAGCACGGTGCGGATCTGAGCGTACGCAGCGTCCCTCTTGTCCTTGAACGCCTTTTGACGATCTTTGTTCCCTCCGGGGTGGAACGCGACAATATCCGCTCGCGGGTCGTCCGGGGACATGTGCGAGTGCCGCTCAAGCATGCGCTTGGTCGTCTTTTTGGTCGTCAGCCAGTAGTCGAGCGTCGGCGTGATGGCGGGGACGCTGTCCGAGGAGAGGTACAGCCAGGCGGGGAGGTCGGGCGGAGTCGAGTCGAGTCGTTTGCGCAGATCCTTGATGACCATCTCAAGACTGAATGAATACCCGATGCTCAGTACCGACACTCGAATGGTAGCAGTGCAGTCGCCTTACTCACCGCCTATAGCAGTAGTCTGGCATTGCAACGCCACCGAACGTGTAGGTGAGCGTAGCCTTGATCTCCGATCGCGCTGTGGAATCGCTCGTGCTGTTCAGCTCGTGCAAGAGCAACAAGATGCATAGGTCGCGCGCGATCGTGCCGTCGTGAATGTCGAGGAGAGTGAGATGAGCGTTGGACTGCGACCGCTTCGCTTTCGGCAGTTTAGTGAGGGCTTGTGAGAGCCCAGCGATAGTCCCAAACGCGTGACGACCTGCAACGCAGAGTGAGGCAGATGATCCGTTAGATGCCATGACACCCACCATCTCCGACGCCTCCAAACAGGAACGCGACATCAAGGGATGGTAATTTGTCGAACTTCAGTGGATAGAGCTGTTCAGGGCCCCATCCGGCGGTTAAGTCGATGATGTCGTCGGTTCCAATCTATGTGTCCGTCGTTGAGTGCAAAATGCAGATGCCTCGGTAACCGTCTTACCGAAAAGAACTCCCTCGTGGTATCGCTGGATATGGGTGAGTATTCAGAGCCGGGGTAAGAGCACGGAGAACGCACAGCGGTTTATAAAACATAGGCAACCGAGAAAACCCGCGCAAGCCCTCCCTTCCGTTCTCCACGTATGCGGTAGCTTCGGCTTTAACGGCGTCCCATTCGCTCCAAACGCGATTCAGTTCCTCGATGACCGAAGAACTTGAACTTGCAGTAGTTTTGACTGCAACGTTTCGCATCTGCTGGATATCCGGCCCATGCGCAGCGAGAGAGTCCAATGTGACAGTCTTTGCCCGGACTCCGTGACAGAGAGATTTGGCAAGCCGCCCCGAGAGCCTTGCCGTAAGGTCCGCTTTTGCGTCTTCGCGGCCTCTCAAGAGCTTCCAGGAGCGCAGGACTGCTTCCGAGCAGGTGGCATAGTCCGCGGCTTCGTAGAGTGCGGCGCTCAGGTTGGAGGGATACACCGCATCGCGCGGATCAGCTTTTTCAGCCTGGAAAAAGCAGTCGAAATTATTTAGTCTCCCACCCTAAGAAACGGAAAAGGTTGGAAGTTCGTTGGAGAGTACTCGTCGCCATCTCGCCCTGCAAGTCGCACACGCGATTGCATCGAAAATGACGAGGCTCTTCGAGGATGGATCCAGTACGAGGGAATAATGATGGCCAGACATATTCCAATGCGCCTTGTGTCTCGATTCGTAGTACTCACCTGGGCGTAGAGTTCTGAAGCTCTGGATGGGAGGAGAGATCAAGACGCTGATGAGCCGACGGCGCCCGTGGCATCATGTCGGGTAAACGCGCACCTGAGGAAATCTCCGGCCTTGAACCGCTCATTGCCCCGCTGTTTGAGTGCCGCTGCGTTTCCAGACATGGTGGCCGTGAGTGGTCCAAGGACAAGCCGCGACGCTCGAGAAAAACGACGCGTCTTCGATGTACACGCGACGCGTTAGCGCCCATTGAACCTTGCGCCACCGACGCGTTGGCGGCAAATCCCGGCGACCCCGAGAACATATCATAGGTTGCGGAATACCCAGTCTCCACATTGCAAGGTCATCTACTGCGTTTTGGACTCTAGCAGAATCATCGAAGAATACCACTAAATATATGACCAGCTGTGGCAATAATGAAGCTCATTAGAGGTTACCAGCCCCTCAGTTCTCGTCAGTCAGTGTGGTCAACGGTACTGCTTGTACTTAATTCCGGTCAGGGATGACAAGTGGCCATGGATGGCAGAGTCTGCGGCTGGATACAAGTCCTCGAGAAGCAGCCTAAATATCCGCAGATTACTCTATGACCGAAACCCATTGTGTAGGCGGGACGGGATCTGTCGCTGTAGTTCAAGAGGGTCAAATCGCGGCGCTGT